GACTCCAGCAGGTTAGGCAATTGGCCAGAAGAGCTGAGCCAGAGAAACTGCAGGGAGGGTTTAAAAAGGTGAGATCCCTATGACTGTACAAAGAATTTATGCAAAATGCAAAAAACAAAAAATAAAAACCACCCTCTAATGCAATATAAAGCTTGAAAAAAATCAAGAAAAAATAATCCATTTAGGAGATTCTTTAAAATATTTAAACAAGGAGAAGTAAGATTTCTAGAGAGGTTTCAATTACCTGACTTTGAAAAGCTAGGAGCTAGTCCATTTAATGAAGTCTATGGGGCACATCGTCATAAAATAAAATAAATAAAAATTTTTTTTAAAAATTTATTTATTTTTAATTCTCACCTGAGGATGTTTTAGAGAGTGGGAGGGAGAAGGGGAGGAAAGTAGAAAAGGAGGGAGGTAAGGGAAGACAGAAGAGACAGAGAGACAGGGAGAGCGAGAGAAAGAGAGAAAACCATCAAGGTGAGAGAGAAACATTGATTGGTTGCTTCTGACCAGGGACTGAACCTGCATCTAGGTATGTGCCCTGACTGGGAATTGAACCTAAAACCTTTTGGTGTATGGGATGACACTCTAACCAACTGAGCCACCCAACCAGGGCCACATCAGTACGTCTTTTAAAGAATGTTTTTAATTAAATGAGTCTCACTAGAAAAAGTGTTTTCATTAGTAAGTTCTAAATGTTTCTGCAGATATTCCAAAAATATCTTTTCCATGGTAAGGAATCTAACAAAGAATGTTATTTTGCACGAGAAAAAGTATTATCCTCAACCTCTGTAAAACTAAACAACACCAACAATTCATGAAATGACTCAATTAAAAAATACAGAAATGAAGACATTAAAAGAAGAAAGGGGATTTGTATATCACTGGGAGAAAACTTAAGGGTTCAAGTTTTTAAGCAATGTACAAAGAAAGCAAGGACTTAGCTTTATTTTAGTTGCTTGAGTAAGTAAGATGCATTTATTGCTGCATTTAAAAAATACATTTCAAAACAAAAAGTTTGGTTACTTGTAATGACCACTGTAATGCATACAAGATCCTATCTGTTTCACGTTTGGGGTCAGGCCTACCTTACATGTAGGAACTGAAAAGAGGCTGAAATAAAAAACATGCTGTTAGACAGATACCTTAAAATATAAAAAAGGATTTAAAGATAAACATTTTGGGATACCTTCGATGGCAATGCGCTTTTTGGGCCAATCCTTTGATTCACGAGATATCATTTCTTTGACTCGGATACTTATCACTAAATCAGCCAAATTAAATTCTAAAGCATAGAATCGAAGCAATTCCACCCAGAGCTGCCCAACTGGCACTGAAGGCTGGTGTTTTAAATCAATTAATGATACCTATTAATCGCAAAGAGAAAACACAGGTATTTCAGATTTTAGCACAATTTGAATAATTAGCATTCAAAAGCATGAAATTTTTAAAAACCTTAAAAACCTTAGCAAAGATATGAATTTGACAACCATTTAGATAAATCACATTCTAGTTTTAATTTTGCTTGTAGAAAAATAGCATTCTTTCACTACACTGCTGGGATTAGAGTATTTTAAAACCTTGTCAGAATCATAGGAATAGACAGGCAGTTAGTTGTATGTAATCAGACAGTACTCCTAGTTTTGAAGTTTTAATGATAGATGGAGAGAACTGTGCATCTATTTCATTGAGCTCTCCCTGTTTCTGCTTCTGGAGGACACCTTTACAATGTTACACACAGAAATGGGAGGCAGCTAAAGCAGAGAGCAAAAGGAAAAATGCTCCCCTCATTTGCTCTGAGAAGCTACTTAAGCTCACTGAATGTTAAGTGATTTTAAATTAATTTGAAAGTCAAATAACTCTCTATATCAGCTATTATTGTTAGTTTTACATTTACAGACTCTTGACAAGTTGAAATATGCCGTAATGTAATTAATTGGAAAGCACACAGGACTTAGAATAGGAAAAAAAAGTGTCCAATTCTAATTCTGCCACTTCATAGTTCTTAACTGCTCTGTGACTTAGCTTCTTCATTCCCATTTGGCAGTATAGCACAGTGGCTAAGAGAACTGGCTTTGGAATGAGACACACTTAGGTTTGCAATCCCATTCTGCCATGTGCATGATCCTAGTCAAGGTATATAAGCTGTCCAAGCCTCAGTTTCCTCATGTGAACAATGGGGATCACAGTACCCACCTCATAGGGTTGTTGGGAGGATTGAGTGAGAGAGTGTCTGAAAAGAGCTTAGCACAGTGCCTGGCACACATGTTCAAAAAATGGTCGCTATCATTATCTGCAGAGTAGGGATGATACCACCTATAACACAGGATAGTTATGAGGATTAAATCAGAAACAAGGGAAAGCAGACGAGGTTGCTCTCTGTATTTTTTCACTTAGATAAAATCTTTAAGAACAAGAAATCCATTTATCACGGAAACATAGAGTTACAACTGTAAGATGCTGTTAAGAAGTAATCTAGTTCAACTCCCGTATGTTACAAGAGAAGAAACTGAAGCCAGAGAGTTTACGTGACTTGTCAAAGGTCCCACTGCTTATCAGTGGCAGAATGAGAACAGTCTCCCATCCGAGTACAGCGCTATTTCAATCACACCAAGCAATTTTAAGTTTAGATATCCCTTTCAGAAGTGGCAGCATGATTACTCTCTCCAAATAACGATACAGTCTTTAATTGGACTTACAGTATTAGCTTTTCCTTCTAAGGAATAAATTTGTTCCCGATTGCACTTTATTATATCACACTTCAAAACAAGTGGTAGAGTATTTTTATAACTACCACATCTCAACCACACAGGATCTATCTAATAAGACAAAGTCACCCAGTGGATTTACAAAGCAGACCTGGTCGAAAAAAGGAAGTTGTCTAGGTCCCAAACTCTATATAGTTGAGGACACAAAGAAAACCCCCAGAAACTGAAACCCTTATAAAATTTTACATCTTCATCCAGATGGTTTATTCAGCATTACTAAGGATTTTTAAGCATCTCACTGAAATGACTTGTTAATACTGTACTATGGAACTTAGATAGACCTTTCATCTATCCAAACTAGTAGTACTTCAGTGTTGTTGTTTTTTTAAAGTAGAGAACACTTTTGTTTTGGCACTGAGTTAAGCATTCTATAAATCAATGACCCTATGAGAGGGTACCAATATCATCCCCATTTTTAGGTGAGGAAACTGGAGCCCACAGAAAGATTACATCACTTGCTCAAGGACACACAAGCTAGGAAGTGGGAGAGCTGGGATACAAATACACATATTCTGGCTCCACAGACTGTGCGCTTATCTACAACTGGAACCATAAATAGGACAAAAGTGTTTGTTGCTGTGCTGGTGGCAGCAGAGAAAGACAGGTTCCCCCTCCCCTTCACCCCTTCAGGATTATAGAAAGCAAACTGAAGTATCTATGATTCACCATTACCTCCTCTTTCTAGGCATGGACTAGAAGAGTGACATGACTTACTGGTGTAAAGCTGGGATTAAAATCCTGGTCTCAGAAGTAATTTGAGGATATTATTATCATGTCACCCCCAAGGGTTATAAGGTTGTGGGGTCTGCCCCAATTTTAAAGTATATTTTTATTGATTTCAGAGAGGAAAGGAGAGGGAGAGAGAGATAGAAACATCAATAATGAGAGGCCGAAACCAATTTGACTCAGTGGATAGAATGTTGGCCTGCAGACTGAAAAGTCCCAGGTTCGATTCCAGTGAAGGGCATGTACCTTGGTTGATGGCACAATACCAGTGGGGGATGTGCAAGAGGCAGCTGATCGATGTTTCTCTCTCATCGATGTTTCTAACTCTCTATCCCTCTCTCTCTTCCTCTCTGTAAAAAAATCAATAAAATATATTTTTAAAAAAATGAGAGAGAACCACTGATTCACTGCCTCTTGCATGTTCCCCAATGGGATCAAGCCCACATCCCAGGCATGTGTCCTTGACAGGAATCAAACCTGGGACCCTTAAGTCCACAGGCTGATGCTCTATCCACTGAGCCAAACCGGCAAAGGCTGAAATCCTATTCTTATTACTAATTTAGTTATACTGTTTAGATTTTTGTTTGTAATTTAAATGGCAATTCTTTCTTTGTGCATAAACGTCCCTGCCCACCCCTAATAGTATGGAAACAAGTTCCTATAATTATTCATTGTTATTTTAATAATCTGAGGTTAACGTTTTATCTGTTTAAACCTCATAATACCATCTATGATCTAAGTACTTGGAGAATAGGTAGGCTTTAGCTTTGAATTCTCAGTATCTTCCATAGTACCCTGCACACAGAACTACGTACATCAATAACTGTAAATCTAATGTTGTGAATTTTACCTTTTCTCATTACTATCTACTCAAAGGACTGCACAGACTAGGAAATGAAACATCAATGAAACAGTTAAGATAAGTGAGGAAAGAAGAGAGGACTGATTAATTAATGAACTCTACAATTAATGACAGAATTAAAAATAGATGGTAAAATTAAAAATAAGAGAAAACACACCTGTCCTGTTTTAACAGGTATTTTTTTTTGTGCCTCTTCTTTTGTTGTGCCTGCATCCCCTGTGGCATTATCAGTGTATTCCCAGACCACGACGTCTTTCTGAATATCTTTTAGGTTGAAGTTGCCTAGTTTATTTAATGAGAATCCTTCAATCTAGAGAAAAATTAGACATACATTATTATAAGATAGAAACAATTTTATATCAATCAGAACACATTAATCCTGAGAGGAATGAGAAGATAACATACTATGGTATGTAAAAGGTATCAGCTATGAAATTTTTCTGAGATATTTATAAATTTTTTAAAATATTTTTTTGAAGTAAAAAATAAAGTTTCGATTTGCAAAATAAATAATTTGTGAAATAACTCTTTAGTAAATAAGAGAAGGCAAAATGGCCACAAGTTCTGCAGTAAATCTGTTTGGGATAAAATCTCAGCTCCTAGGGTAGAAGAGGCTATGAGTGTGATAAATGGTGATGGAAGGAGACTTGACCTGGGGTATGAACACACAACATACAGGTGATGTATGATATAACTATACACCTGAAACTCACATAATTTTATTAACCAATGTCACCCCAATAAGTCCAATTAAAAAAAAAGTGAAAAACAAACCTCAGCTCCCTCATGACTTTCTTTAGGTCTCAGGCTTCTGTTAAAAGAGATAACACTAGAACCTCCTTCAAGGATAGTTGTGACATGAAATAATGGAAATAAAGGATTCAGATACAGGTATGGGATGGAGTAAATGCCAATAAATGTAATAAATTATTTCTACTGATGTTGCTGAAATACAAATTGCTAAAAAAAAAAAAAAAAAGTCTGGACTCAAAAGGTCTAAGAAACGTGGGCAAATATGAATAGGTTTCTTGAGTGTTCAATGTGATTTATCATAAGCCTTGAAACAGGTATACAATGAATGTGGATTGGGTGATATGGTATACTATTTCCCAAATATATTTCCCTATCAAATGGACTACTACTTTGATTTAGCAGAGTACGTAATCATTCCAGACAGAGAGAGAGAGAGAGAGAGATATCATGTTGCTCTCAGTTATAACAGTTTCTTTCAAACTCAGAATGAAATTCACAGCCCTTTCCAGGGCCAAGAGAGGGTCCACATAATCTGGCTCTTTGTTTCTCCTCTGACCCATCTTCCTGACTCACAGTTGATACCCGCTACTTCTTCTGCTCGGAAGGTTCTTTCCCCCAACAATCAGGTAGCCCACTCTCCTTCAACGCACTCAGGCTCTGCTCAAATATCTTTTTCTCTAAATAGATCCTTCCCTTTCACATTCTGTCCTTCCTCCGTTTTATTTTTCCTCAAATTACTGCCACTTGATATTTACCTTTCTCACCTCTCTGTATATAGAAATTTGAGGACAAGGATGTTGTTTTGTTCACTGCTCTAACTCTAGCATCTAGAACAGTGCCCAGCACAGGTAAATGCTCAATAAAGACTTGCTAAGTGACTCAAAGAACAAATTGCTCTTACAGAAAATATGAGGTGCGGTGACTGTTAGATTTATATATTCAATATTTTTCTTTAATTATGTAGCTTATTTTTTTTTTGGTTGCGTTTTAAAGAGTAAAACATTTCTAAAGAGCTTATCAATATTTTTCTCTATTGATGTGGCTTGCACTTTTAGTTTTCTACCTAAGAAATCCTTGCTTATCCCCAGGCTGCAAAGATTTTTCTCCTAGGCTTTCTTCTGGGCATTTTATAGTTTTAACCATGTCATGCATGTCTCTGATTCATTTTGAGTTAATTTCAGGGTATGCTGTAGGGCAAAGATTTAATGTTCATTTTCGGATATCTAGTTTTTCCAAGATCAATTGTTGAAAAGATTTCCTTTCCTCCAATGAATTGCTTAATTGGGGCAAACTGCTTAATTGGGGCAAGTCATTCGAATTTCAGACCTGGATGTGACAGAAAGCATTATCCACTAACAGTTGACTTTGTTCTCTCATTCTTTTTTCCCACCAGAGAAGAGCAGTCTAGCAAAGATACCTTCTCAAGGCCCTGAATTCTTTCATTTTAGTTCTAGAAACACAAAGAGCTCCCTTCAGCAACCTGACACAGAGTGGACTGAAACTCCTATTATTCCAGGACAGAGTTTATAAGGGGCTTATCTTGCTAAGATAAAGACTAAAGTCTTTATTCTTGGGTCTTGGCAGATAAAGGATGTTGCTTAATTCTTAATATATTAAGTAAAGAAAAAACTATCCCCATCCCTCTATGCATCCACAGTAAGTAACTACTACTCTGATAAATGTTCCTTAAATATTGAGAATTCTACATGTGGTAAGAAGAAAGGTAGTTAAAATATCCAAATGTTCCAAAGTTAGCTTTTCCCTGAGACTTTCTATAAAATAAGTGTACACAGATTTTATTAAGATAAATACCTCGGCATTTAAAGAGAGTTTAATTGTTCTTAAAGATAGTACAAAATATTATTCAAGAGGTGATTACTAAATTCTGCATTAGTAGCAGTTCTTATATCAAATTATAAAACTATACCCTGATACAGTGTGTACCAAATGATAAATATATTACAGGTTCACATTCTCTTGTTTGAAACCCTCAGGATCATGTGTTTCACAAGTGTTTTCTTCAATTTAGAATAGTTCTCCCAGAAAAACATTTTGTAAACAAATACATTAACATTTCAGCAGTTAAATATATGAGTATTCACAATAGGATAAATTCATGTCAATTCTGAGTAGGATTTTAGATTTTGAAATTATGCACAGGTATTGTGTGGTCCTGTAAAAAAAAAAAAAATCAATATTGAATACTGAAGTTTTATACCCATGATCCTAGATAAACAGGCAGAAGGGGCTCTTTCCTCTGCTGAAGAAAGAAAACAGTCATCAGGGCAAACACATATGGTGGCAAACCTCCTTCTTCAGGGCGATCTATGCTGCAAAGCTACAAATGAGAGAAAAAGAGGATAAGCTTTCATTTGTACCAACTTGTTATATAATTTGGTCTAAAACCTGTCACTTCTTTTCCTTGTATCACATGATTTACTCATTAAATAAAACACCACAGTGACAAAATGTAAAATGTCCTATACTTTTGGAGCAACCACATACTGTGGTTTTGAGTAACAGCTTTAATTTCAACATTTAAATCTTGTTAACAACACATATTTGTAAAGGATCCTAAAATACCACTTGCTGTTTCATTTTTTTCACATCCACAGTAAACCTACTGCCTTGAAAATGCAAGCTTTGACCACATAAGTGATCAGGGGAGAGAATGTGGGCAGATTCATTAACACTAACAAAACAACTTAAAAGTAACGGTCTAGCCTGGCAAGAATGGCTCAAATGGTTGAGCGTTGTTCTGTGCACCAAAAGGTTGCTGGTTCAATTCCCAGTGAGTCACATACAGAAGGCAACTGATTGATGTTTCTCTATATTTCCTCCCTCTATGTGTATAATTGGGTGAGGATTAAAATAAAAAGAATGGACTATTTTGTGATAAAGCAGGAGGCAGTTTTCAAAAAAGGCATACTGCAATTATCAACTTACCCAGTTAAGAGTGGGGTATTCTCTGGTTAGCCTTGACATAAGCCATAGGAACTATATGCACAGTTTGTTTTTTTAAAAAAATATATATTTTACTGATTTTTTACAGAGAGGAAGGGAGAGGGATAGAGAATTAGAAACATTGATCAGCTCCCTCCTGTACACCCCCCTCCCCACACTGGGGATGTGCCTGAAACCAAAGTACATGCCCTTGACTGTCATCTGCAGGCTGACGCTCTATCCACTGAGCTAAACCAGTTAGGGCTGTATGCATTGTTACTGCTATATATTAATCAGTAAAGCTTTGGGTTTTTCTCTATAAAGCATTTGCAGAGCAACTCATTTTTGTAGTCATGATGAGACCTTACATTTTGGGGTGATGTTAAATTCTCTACTGGCATTTTAATTGAGATACTGCATTTAAAACATTATGAAAATGTAAGCAAGGCCAGACAGTGGCTTTCGTTTTTTGGAGTCTCTGGTATATTACTGGAAATGAAGCTTTATCTCAAACTTTCTGGTGCCTTATAATCACCTGATAAAACTAGTTAAAATGCAAATTCTTGGGCCATTATCTTCTAGGATTTGACGCGCAAGTCTTATTTATAATATGCACTATAAATCTTTTGAGCAATACTACTACACAGTGAAACAGAAACAATGAATTTCCCTTTCTGTGCACATTAAAATTTCTGTTCCGCCCTAGCTGGTTTGGCTCAGTGGACAGAGCATTGGCCTGTGGACTGGAGGGTACCAGGTTTGATTCTGGTCAAGGGCACATGCCCAAATTGTAGGCTTGATCTCCAGTAGGAGGCAGCCGATTGATGATTCTTTCTCATCATCGATGTTTCTACCTCTCCCTCTCTTTTCCTCTCTAAGATCAATAAAATATATATTTTTAAAAATTTCTGTCGCAATATTCAGATGCCTACTCTCTTCGTATTTATAAATATGCATCCAAACGTTAAGATTAAATTAACCATACAAAAATCAAAGCATACTGCCTATGCATACACAGAATGTATTCACAAACTTAAGCACTTGACCTACCTTTGCCCAGTACCTAAATGCAATCACCAAAGGAACCAGTTTTGGTTCTAGTTTTCCAAGGGCAGATAAGTGATTTGTTGTCAGACAAGCATGTTCATTTCCTGCACTCACTTTACAAATAAGACCACTGGTGGGGGTGAGGGGTAAGGATGGGAAGGAAAAAGAAAAAGATAAAAAGTGTTATATAGGTATTAGGTATATTTTATGCCAACAACTAATTTACATTGATAATGAGGACTTTAAAAGTGAAAATAAAGTAAAAAAAAAAAAAAGCCCAAAACTTACTAAATCTTTATGGGTCACTTAAGAAAGTATTTTTATTGTTGTTTTTTAATAATAAAAAAAATAGGGCAGCCATTTTCTGAGTAAATTTTATTTTCAGAACTAAAAATTATGTACTTTCATAGATTAAAACTATTTTGTGTGGAAATTAAAATAAGGGAACACTATAAAATATGTTAAATGAGAGCATGAATTCCTATTTGTAAGTATAGAAGTGTTCTCTCAAGAGTTGGAGAAATCTGCCTAGTAAACAATCATTACAGCTTATAAACCACCCACGTACAGTACTGATAGTACTTCCAGATGGAGGGAGAGTAGTCATCTAATTGCTATTTAGCAGTGCTAAAAATGCTGCTAAAAAAGATGGCAAAAGGTGATTTGAGCAAGTAACTGATGAAGTTGTTTTTTACCATGTTGAAATGGGTCAAAAAGCTTCCTTCCTCTATTTTTTCATTTAAAAATTTTTTATTCTTTTCAAAATTAGTTTCCTTTGCATCAATTACCAAAACTATAGGGAGAAAGCTAGTAGTAAGCCTATGAAATTAACCACATAAGAACTCCATCACTCTAGAAATTAGACATAAGATTTAGAAGCATAGAAAAAAAAAGGTTTAGTGAAATACACGTGCTCTTGGCAAGTTGATAGTTAATGTATGAACAGCTTAAAGAAACAGACCTTTTCTTTTCTTTGCACACCACCATTGGCACCCTAGCATGAAAATCTGCATTAACATCAATAAAAGAATCTGAGGAAAGAAGACAAAGATGTTAAGTATGTTAATTATATTTTTGTTTAGAGAACTAGATAAAGTACAAGTTCCAGTTGTGATTTATCTGCTCAGCCTTTTTCAAAACCATTATTAAGTAAAGCTCCAAGATGACTTGAAAAGGAGAAAGTATTATATTCAAGAATTAAGTAATCTTGCTAATTTAAAACCCCTATTTTGTAAAACTATGTTTGAGTGAAAATGACTATATTATTGAATTAGACTGTTTAAATGTTATATGAATAACATTATTAGAAATATGGTAGGCTATTCAAGCAAAATTGCTGCAAAAGCTTCTAAAATGTGGACAACTGTCAAATCTATCTGGGAACAAACATTTGTTGATTCATTAATCAGGGTTGGGTCACACCTATTTGCCATTAGAAAGTATTAATTTAAACCACCGTATAAAGCAGATTATCCTTCAGATTTACCCTCGTGAGTAAATTTTACATATTTTGTGTCTTCTTAGACTTGGTCTAAGGCTCATTTAATCTTTACAAATTGTGACATTATTATCAAGCTAAATAATGACTTCCGGTTTTCAAAGTTTCAGAAATGATATATTCAAATTATAAACAAAAGAAACATTTAAAAGCAAAATGAAGAAAGAATCTGGTTTTACCACTGTTCTTTAAACATTCCTGAACAAGTAGGAGAACATCTGGCTGGGACATCTAGAAAAATAGATCAATGAATATGTCAAATTATCTGTAAGTACTTTTCGCTGAGATGATATACAGTCATCTGAAATTATCCAAACTAGATAGCACATTACGACCAGAGTAAAGAAATTAATCACTACGTTGGTCAGGGACAAAGAAATGAGCACCAAACGAGGATGAATACGGGCAAAGGAGACCTACTACACAGTTAACTCCAAATTAATTTCTGAGTTACTTAGCCTCTCAGCAAATCTCAAAAGTTGTGGCTAGAAGTTGACATACTGTAAACAATATTACCTCTCTCACTCTAAGAGACTCAGTGAATATTTGCTAAATGAATGAATGAATCAAAATAAATTCTGTGCTGATAAATTACTAATCATAATTTAAGGTTAAAAGAATGGTAAAATCTATTGATCAGCTGACCATGGAGCAATAGTATGGGACAGCAAAGAATGAGGCCATGAAATAGAACATCTGTGGGTGGATTTGTATTTGAACTAGCAAACCAGGTCAATTAAATTGACACAAACCATCTACACACTGGACTATGGTAACCACCAGTAGATAAATGTATAATTTACTAAAGCGCCTTCCAGTTTTAACATTCTGATTCATCAAAAGTTTTTTGAGTCATATTTAAACCAGAAAGCTAGGTCAAGTGTGGTTCTTCAAAAGCATAATTATTTCTGAGTGGCTGGGGATAATAGGATGGAATAATAATAATTTTAAAAAAAGAGCATAATTATTTTAATAAAATAGGTGTATAAAAGAGGAAACCCAGAAGCAAATTAAGCTTTCAGGTCATAAAAGCTATTTATCAACATTGCTTAACATCTAAAATTCTTTCCAGCGCTGGAAAGTTGACTTTGCCAAGGTAATTTAATCATTTCAAGTTACCTGAACCTAAATAGTCCCATAAGATTCACATGGTAAGAATACCAGTATTTGATGTATGAGAGATTTAAAGAGTAAAGTAAGTATGAAAAGCTATAGAGTATTTGAAATAATGCCCTAAAACTGAAGACAGGCAAAAGAACATAAAAATAGAAATTTTCTGAAAAAAAGCTGCCACCAATTATACTTAAACAAATCTGAAAATCTCTAAACTATATTTATATTTGAAATATAGCTCACATTTGAAAAAAAGAATTTCCATACCACTCTATGAAAATTCCAACATTTAATTTTGTACTTACAATGGCTGGAAATTGAATGTCAATGTTTACATCCGAATTTTTGAAACCCAATTGGCTACAGGATGACCCATATAATCTTAGAGAACATTCTAAAAAAAAAAAAAAAAAAAGAAAAAAGTAAATAAATAAAAGTCATAAATAAGGTAAAATTTCTTGCAAGTTATAACAAAGCACTGTTATTTCAGAAATAGAATCATCAATTAAAACTATACACAAAAGCAAAACACTATTCAAGTCTGGCATAAACAAAGGATAGCAAGGGTGACTCTTTGCTCTTCCCTTGTGTTGTGTTGTGTTGTGTTATGTAATGTTATGTAATAGGGAAGACTGCATTGACAGTGATTTAGCATAAGGGCAACTCTTTTCAGTTGTAAAACATATTTTAAAAATTCCTAAATTATTTCACATTTTGTGCAAAAAATAATACTTGCTATCATTTTTTACATGTTTAAATGTGAAAGTGAAAAAGAAATGGCTAGCTTTGTTTTATATTTATAAACCTGGTGGTATACTAAAGAGTTAACGCAAACACTTCACCTTTTAGAAAGGCCACATAGGTGTAATTTACTATAAAGATTGTGTTTCTATACACCAATAATCATAAAAATGACCTTCAGCTTAAAAGTTTTTAATAGTAATACTCATATTATAAACAAGCAGCATTTAACATAATATAATCCCTTTAGGAAAACTTTTAAAAAATAATTATATAACTGATACAAAACACTAGGCAACATGTGATTATATGGCCTGTATTAACCACTCAATGTTTTACCACTATTGTGCCAAATTTTTATCCTTTCTCATCAGGAAACTTTGTGGGTACCTCTCCTCCACCCACCCCCCAACCCAGATTAAGTCAAGTGATTTCTTTGGGCTTTAAAAGTTTCTCATGGAAAAAATACATTCAATTTTACAATGGAAGTCTATGGCAAAAAACACCAAAATTATAAGTGACTTTTTGGGAACTATCTACAACATAATGAGGTCCCTATATAATGAAATGAGCAGATTCCACCCTTTATTTTTATGAAAGCATGTATGAATATGAGTGATATACTATATGTAATGATCTTACTGTGGAACTAATGGTTCTATGGGTACTGAGGTAATAATTAAAACAGTGATTTCAACCCTAGCTATATTTTAGAATCACTTGAGGAACATTCTAAAAAATAGTTTCCCATGGTTCCACAGACATAATATGGAGAATGAATTCACCAGTACACAAAATCTATTACATATTAGTTTGCAAAACTCATTTTAGATATTATAAGTCTTTTAAGTGTGGTTAAATAGAACCTTTTTTCTTTTTCTTTTTATTTTAGAACCTTTTACAGATATGTGAAGCTGACTCCAATATACTTTTTATTTTAACTCAAAATATTTTGTCAATTTAAATAGGTAGAATGGTAATCAAATATATACATAAGAGTCTCATAGTGCCCCACTAAGATGGGGTATTTAATTTCAAGTACATGCACATAATAAAATTCATAATGAAAACAGGTTTAATGACAATACATGTAAAAGTCATTGCTTCCTCAGGGGAAGTCAGGAAAAACAAAAACGGGCAAAAAGTAAAGATGTGGCAAATCAATTTCTATTAGGTGAAAATTATTTACTACTAGGAAAGATGATTGAAGTACGTTTAGCTAGCTAAATAGAAAAACAAATCTAGAAAATACCTGGTAACTTGTGTTGAAACACATTTTCCATGATACGTTTAATTTCTAGTCTCTGTTCCAAGTTCTCATTGAGTAACCCAAACTCCTGTACAACTTTGTCAATGGCAATGCCAATTGCATTTATCTGGGAGGGTGTAGGCGGTGGTAATGTAGTGAGCAACTCTTCCTCCTGCTTCTCCTTTTAAGATCAATGATGAGATTAAAAAATGACACACATTTTTAACCTTCTACCACTTACCAAGACAACATTATAGTATATTCTTAGCCTTCCCTTTTACTTTAGCTATGTTAGTTTTCATGTTATCAAACATTTCTTCATGCATATAAAGTGATAATAAAGGGAAGACAGGAATAAGAAAAAAGTGCTAAAGAAGAATATTAAAAACAGCAATGACAAGTTATTTTTTTACTGGCATAATGACATATACTTAATTCTATCAATGACTTTGTTCATCTTCATCTCCTTAAGGAAGTTCATAAGACTACCCAACAAAACATGTCTGAGCAGCATCAAGTATTTTGAGTAAATTCAATAATATAGAATTCAGGAGAAGAAAGTTACGAAGACAAGAAATAACTGACAGATAAACATTTGTTTTGGTTACACTAAACTTACCTTAATGTTTTTCTTGTGCCTCTTCTCTTTGATATGCTTATGGGCAAATGGAATAGATTCAATGAAAACATCACAAAGTTTGCAGGTATACTTTGCTGTAGGGTAGTTTCTTGGTCGCTATAATTTAAAGAGATTTATAGATATATATCCTCAAAACTATAGGTCAACAAAAATTAGGCAGAAAATGATTTCCCCTCCATTTTAAAAATTGTTACTTTGTTACTGTCACTTTATTACTATCCTAACTTTGAAGACAAGAAATAACTGACAGATAAACATTTGTTTTGGTTACACTAACACAGTTTGAACAAAACAAGGATTTTAACTAACAAATAAAAGATGTTAGTTACCCTTTTCAGCCTGTCAATGCAGTCCCTTTTCAATCGCTCCTCAGCCTGCTGTAAACCCAGGAGCTCCTTTGCTGAAAGCACAGACTCGTCGATCACAGGGCCTTCCAACTCCCCGTCCAGGTCACTGTCCCCATTTCTAGTCCTCCGTGGCTTCCTAGGTCTGGACTTCTGCCTCTTGTCTTCTTAAGTTAAGAAAGAAATATTATTGGTGATATTAAATAACAGAACTGACTAAAAAGCAGAATTTAGGTATTAAGGAAATCGTGTAATATCTGAATGACAACTGAACACTGAGCATAAGGAAAGAGACAGGCATGGATAGAATGCCTGAATACTCATTAAGCACCTCATCTAGATACATTAATACATAGAAATAGGTGCTTTTTAAACGTAAAAGGAATTCTACTTCAATCATATAATTTGATTGTATCATCTTTTTGGTATATTGCTGAAAGTATCCTCTGTAGGCGAGTATACTTGTTCTAATATACCTAATATATCATCATAATCTATAATATACATGTATCTACTATATTCTAATATCAGGGGCCTGGTGCATGAAATTTGTGCACATTAAAAGGGAATTAATTAGAGGGAATATTTTAATATTGCTATTTGCCCTTTCCCCATAGTGGAAGTGACAGAGATAAAAGAAATTAGTAAAATGTATATGAAAATCTCCTTTCTGTCAAGAGTCTGAGTTGTGCCTCGGGACCCAGAGTCAAGTCCCCCACACATTGCTCGCACCTCAAAATTGCACGAGACTCAGACCTGGCCAGCCCCGCAGGGCTGGGAGGCGCAGTCTCAGGTACCCTGACCCTGGGATAGGCCTCAGGTTCCTTGGCCCCGGGAGTCGAGTCACAGCCTCAGGTTCCTCTGTCAAGCCCTGCCAGTTGGGGCGGCGCGGCACAGCCTTAGGGGTGGGGCCTCAGCTCCCCCACATCAAGCTCTGCCGGGAGGGGGGCACAACCTCAGGTCCCTCAGCCTGGTGCCCGGGCGTGACCTCTGATTCCGTGCCCCCCTCTCCCCCTGCCCTGGCGCCAGGGGCCCCAGCATGAAGGCGCGATGACCATTTGCATATTAGCTCTTCATTATATAGGATTCTTGTAAATATACCTGTTATCCTAATTAAAACTACCCACATTTACTTTCACTTTCATAAGTGAACAATATCAATAGCACAGATGGACAATGTATTTCCAAAGATCTCAGAAATTTACTACATTCTTATCTAAAGTGAAAATTCAGTCTTCACATTATTGTCCCCCCACATTAATATCAAGAAGTTTAAGCCAAAATTTTATTTACTGAGGACAACCATTTTCCATTTTATCTTTACTTTCATTTTCACTTCTTCAATGGCATGCACACTGAATATATTTCAAAGGAAGAAACAATTAGCAGCTGAACTAAAAATTTTCTGTGAGTATACACTAATTCTCACTTGTTTATAGACTATGCTGTTCTACAATCCTTATAATAAATGAATCTGTCACTTCTTAAAAAAAAAATGTAACTTTTAACTTTTGAAACTAAAGGTAATTGTGAGATTGCTTTATAAAAAATTTGTCTTAAATAACTTTGATAACTTCCCTTAAGTCCTGAAAAATGAAACTATTAGTAACACATGCAATTAAAGTTAAATTCATTTCTCCAATTAAAATTGTGGTAAATGGACTGAATGACCTGAATGGAAACAGAGCTTCTAAATGGCTTATCAATAACTAGTCTGAAAATAGAAACCTGCAATGCCCTGCATAAGGCAATTCCTATTAAGTTTCCATTGGAACTTATTACTTGTATAGCAGGTACAATAAGTCAGTTAATTGGGGAAAAAATTGTCAGAAAAGGGAGACGTAGGACCTTTACTTTACAAAAGCTATCTGCCAATAGTTCTAAAGGGAAATCAGCAAGCACTGTGTTCAAACTACCATAAGATGAATATAGTGAAATTCTGCCAACAGTTTCTGTACTACAGTAAGAGGCAATTAAACAAAATTAAAGAAGAATTAGGACAAATACAGTTTTTTTAAAAAGCAATCAACACAGACCAAACAAAATAGTAAAAAGTAGTCATTGGAAGAAAAAAAAAATCAGTCTACACCTTAATACCTGCTTTTAAATACTCCCTCTACTCCCAATTAAAATATAAATCTTTTAACGACAGTACTCTTGGTCTGCCCTAAACTTCTGAGATAGGCACTTCTTTTAAAGGTATGTCTATTTTCATTTAATTTGCTTGTCATTACGAACTTTAAAAAACTGCATCTGATTTCAGTATTCAGGACAGAACTTTCTCATTTCTCACTTAGACAAACACTCATTAGAGATTTATACCAATATGTGCAATACCCATTAGGAAAGTCCTTATTAGTCGAAAACACAAAGTGATATAGAACCAAATTCCTTTTTTTAATCCCTCTTCTCTTTCCCACTCACAAAGACTGCTTAAATATAACTATATTTGCTGTCATTTTCTAGAAAGAATGACTTCAATTTCCCTCCAGAGAACACAATTAACTCCTTATTGTTTTTATACAGAGAAGTGGCTACAGAAATTCTGATGCTGATGATAACAGCAGCTACCATTACAGAATATTTTATTACGCAACAGATGCAATAAAAAGCAGTTTATATGGCATTGCCTCATTTAATCCCTACATTGATCCTGTCATGGATGCTAAAAATTACTCCTATTGTACAGAGTAGGGTAGGGGTGTCGAACTCAATCAGAGAAGGGGCCAAAATCTAAAATCCAGCCTAAATCGCAGGCCGAATGGTTTACTGAACTGTCATTGTGATGGAAACGCAGCGGAGTGCAGTGATGACAGCGCGGTGCGGGCCACATTGCAAGGCCTGGCGGGACGGATTTGGCCCGCGGGCCTTGTGTTTGACACATGTGGAGTAGGGAAATGCTGGTCCAGGAAAATGTGACTTGTGCAGAGACACATAACTAAGTCAAAGGAAAGGGATTTGAAACAGATTAAAGCATAGGTGAAATCCTAAAATTCAGCCTTGTAACAATATACAATAGTTCTAAAAAGAACTAATTAAAATCTCTTCTTGAAGCAAATTCATTCATAACTGGAACAGACCAGTACTGATAAGGTAATGTAACCTTATGAACCTCACAGGCCTGCATAGTAAAAATGATCAAATAAAATCTAGCTGTTGGGAATCAGGAAAGCAAAGCTAGGTTTTGCTAAAAAAAATTTCCATAATTACTTAGACTACCTGGCTTATCCCAAGTTTTTTGGTAATATGAATGAATTCTCTATATACAGTATTCTAAGTTTCCCATATTTTACTTGCATATGAACCATTATTCCATTCACAAAGAACATGTATATTTGAGTGGATGCTTTCCAGCTAAGATTATTAATGGAACTGTCCCAAATATGATAAATTGGCAACATAGGATATTTGAGAGATGAAATGTGAGTGGTAATGGAGAACTGAAAAATAGTATTAAAAACAAAGCAACTCGAGATAATTTCACTACATTTTCTCACATCATTTAATAAGACCCTTCCTTATCAAGACAATTTTGATTTCAGGAAAATTTAAATTCCTTTAATGAAATCCTTTTTAGGAATCTTTGAGTGTAATACAAAGTTTAAATTTCTCTCTATAGTGAGCAATGTTATACCGAAGTTTAATATTTCCTGTATGAAGATTTTCAAGAAATAGAGACTGAAAAGACCTTTAATTAGCATTTGTGAAAGAATACACCTGCATTTCACAGAAAGAAAACACGGGAGCTTTCAATAAAAAGACAGTGAAGACATATTTCCTGTTCAAAACCTCTTAAAATCAAACCAACTTATTTTAAAATGAAACACAAATACAATCTAAGAGGTTTTTGGTATGTAAATAATCCCTTTTAATATCTTTCTGGTTGCAAACTATTGATCTATAAGTCTTTCTTTTCATAATGCTGCTCAACATCAAATTTTCTTTTCTAAAAAGCCAACTACTGGCTAACTAAATTAAAATGTCCATGTCCCACAGACACAGTAATACACAAATACTTAAAATCACACAAACTTTTAAAAAGAAAAACACAAATTGCAAGTCCAGAAATCATCAATGCGTGTTCAGTTTGCCTCTGCCAGATTTCCGGTCCAGCGATGCTGAGTTAGCAGCCAGAGCAGCACAGTACACGATTTCAGTTTCATTTCCTCATCTACCATTCTACATAAACATGTCTGGATAATTTTAACTCCTCTGAGCCACAACTTCCTGCTTTGTAAAACTGTGATTCTACCTTTGGTATAACATCACAGACAATTCCTTCAAGTTCTTTACAGCTTCAAGGTTTCCGAGGCTAAGGTTGGATCTCTCCCATCCATTTGATTCCTAATACCTCTTTCTGTTTTGGCTATTTGATTCAAAGCATTTTCTTTTGCTCTTCCTATTAAAAAAAATATAAAATAACATATTTTCTCCCATTTTATACTTTCATAAGACCCTCTAAAGATAGAACACGATGTTTTTCCTACTAAGACTTCTGAATGTGCTAGCTAGTTTCCAACTCACTCTATATGGCCCTTTCCTTCAGCCACAACTGGCTTCCTTGCTCTTCCTGGAATGTACATGCTCTGTCATAGCCTTTTCATAGGGGTGGGAGTGGAGGACATTTTCCTCAAAAATTCCCAGTGGTGGCCCTCTCACTACCTCAGTGAGGGCTATCTTGATCAGTCTATTTAAAAACTGTCAACTGCCTCTCCCTTACGCCATAGGCCCAGCACTCCATTTCTTTCATTATTTTATAGCCAGTCAGGAAGTGCTTTAACTTTTTAGGAAGAAATTGGCATAGTAGAGTACATATTTTTTAATAGGAAGCAAACAAGTAGTGATGATGGAGCAGAGTGTTTAGCTAGTAGATTTGGTAGTAGAGATGAGGAAGAACTACAGACTGGGAATATAAAGACAGATTTCAGTAGGAAAATTAACAGGAATAAATTTGGTGGTAAAATTAGTAGGTCATAACTTATTCAAAAGGGGAAGGGGAAAAAAAAGGGGAAGGAAGGGGAAAAAGAACATAACTAAGTTGCTTTAAAAAAAAAAAAAAAAAAAAAAAAAAAAAAAAAAAAAGGCAGCCCGGCCAATTTGCTCAGTAGTTAGAGTTGGCCTTCAGATGGAAGGGATTCAGGTTCTATTCCAGTCAAGGGCATGCGTCTTGGTTGCAGGCTTGATCCCTGGCCTGAGCGTGGTAGGGCTCATGTGGGAAGCAACCAATCGATGTATCTCTTTTGCATCAATGTTTCTGTCTCTCCTCTTCCTACTATCTTTAAAATCAATGGGAAAAATATCCTTGGTGAGGATTAACATTAACATTGAAGTCAACAAACCTAATAGCCCATTTTTCAACGAATAATTTTCTGAGCATACTTTGCATTTTCAGACTAAATATTAGTTTTATTTTTTTTCTACAAATGTATGGCTTTACTTCATTTTAGTAATTACTATCCCTTAAATAAAAAGTTTTCTTGTTTACAGATATCATAGATACATGGACAAAACCTACTCACCTTTTAGAAAACTGTATAATTACTTTGGGGCATTATCTAACACGTAGGGCACTCAGAATAGGCTTCTGGTTTGAAACTAAAAGCTTTTATGTGTATTTCTTACTTCTAAACTTATTAAGTCTCAATATGTTTATAAAACTCACTTTGTTTAAAAAATATTTTATTGATTTTTTTACAGAGAGGAAGGGAGAGGGAGAGAGAGAGACATCAATCAGCTGCCTCCTGCACATCCACTAGTGGGGATGTGCCCACAACCAAGATACATGCCCTTGACCAGCATCAAACCTGGGACCCTTGAGTCTGCAGGCCAATGCTCTATCCACTGAGCCAAACCAGCCAGGGCTAATGCTCACTTTTGAGGAAAAAAATAAATAAATCTTGGACTACCCTCCAATCCCTCTGTGGCAGGAAATATATGAGTCTATATTGTGCTTTTATATCAGTCTGTCATTTACATTATTCAAATACAAAACTGTGATACATGATTTAGAAATTATATACATACCTACCCAGAAATTATGATATAGTCTCCCGGAGGATATGACTACCCTCTTATGTAAAAAGCACCAACAGGAAATATGTTGACTAAAGTAAAATGAGCATTATGGCAAAGGAAACTTTTAAAGGGACCAATATATACACATATCACAACTGCGATCCTTAAAATAATTATATTAAATAAGCAGAAACTATGAAAAACTTGAACTGCATTGCTGAAAATAACAAAACTCATTTGGATGAAAAAGAAAAGACTTCGCTGACTTTGGGTTGTTAGCTCGACAAATTGCAACACATTACCGTGGCTTCCTGCTTCCACTTCTGACATGGTTTCCGGGCTTGTTGGGTCTTTATGAAACAGCCGCCTTACAGTTCTGCAGCCTCTTCCGTCTTGCCACCGATATCCATCTTCACTTTCTTGAAAGGGCTCTCTTCTCGGTCGGTTCATCACAGGAATTCTAGGTCCTAGTTTGTATTCTCGCCAACTCTCCGAATTACCAGCGAGTTCATCTGACAGCCATCTCTTACTCTGATCTCTGTGGTTGTCGTTTACCCAAAGGGGTGGACTGTAAATTGGGTTTTTAAATGCGTAAGGATTGCTGGAAACGGCATACGGTCCTTTTCTAGGAGTGTTCCCATAGTTCCCCGGCGTTACTTTTCTCTTGGGAAGGCCTTTTTCCATTTTATTGCTATGGCCTTTAGCACAATCATCCGTTACTAAATAATCTTGTTGAGGGTGACCCCTTCTGAAATCCTCATCTTCCGCAGCTCCCCGGTCCTTAGCACGCTTCACAAAATAAGGTTTGGCTGCATCTCCCATGGTCTTCCACTTCACTTTTCTTACTTTGCACCTGGAAAGAAAGCATTTTTTGGGGAAAATCAAACTATAACAAGATATCATGCCTAGAGTACAAAATACCCCATATATTGCACGGATGCTCAAAAGCCCATAAGAGACCCACCTAATTTCCACCACATTCCAATAACCAGTGTATTACACTAGAAGTTAGGAGGCTTATCCTATGATATTCATCATGAAAATTAGTACCTACTATGTAACATGAAG